TTGTGCTGTTCCTTAGTTCAATTATTACCGCTCTTTATCTTTCAAAACTCTTGGCGCGAGCAAAAGCAAGCAGGCTTCTTTCCATCCTACCTATGTTTTTTTTCTTTGAAATCCGTCGGACTGAGGTGTTGTACAACTCAAAACCATCCAGCATATTTCAAGTCCATGTGACTTACTCCTTCCAATTTTGAGATCTGCGGTAAGAGACAGTTAGTTATCTGCCTTTGAGAAAAACGTTAACAATCCTAGACCCAGAAGGAAATTGAATTAACTTCTGACGGAATGGACTCTGAAATCTAAAATGTTTATTTGAATAACATTTGAAGCAACAACCAACCGCCGAATAAGGGGTAGGTAAAGTAGGCAATCAAAAAACCGATAAATTAAAAGATTTCGCCATGAAAATTGAAGACCAGACTATTCAAAGGAATACAGTCTAGAAATCTCCTACTCGTCCTCAGAAAATCTGTGGGAATTTAGATACGAAAGATAGATGATTCCCAGCTATTTACACGTATATGCTCTACTTGGTTTTCTTGACACACAAAACGTATTAAAGGACAGAGGAGTAAAGTAAAAGCTGTTTACAAATTTCAAGACTAATAAATTTCGAGTAAGGAGAACGATGTGGGCCAAATTTAAAAAAGTAGTGGGAAGCAAAAAAAATGAAACCACCGGCACTTCGCCAATTATGAAATTTTTTCCTCTTAGAACCAGTGAAGGTGGTTATGTCGGATGAACTGGCAGCTGGCCAATTATGGCTTTTAGCCAAGCTTCATATTAATAACGTAGGGGAACGAAGGCTTAGAGGCATACGCGACTGGAGAGGACTTGCGTATCCTTGACTACTTTTGCGTTTTGCTGGGGAAGATAGGGTTTTTCGTGTTTGATAAATATTTTTGGTCATTATTTAACTATTGAACAGTGCAGTCTAAGTTGCTTAATTATTAGGTGCTTTCGGCATAAAAACAGGTTTTTTACTTGCAAAGGAAGGAGATGGGGGGGATGAAAAATTTTTGCCATTATCCAGGTAGAATGTAGCTATGATTTCTCAGTATTTTTAAATTATATTTGTTACAGGTTGTCTGCAGCGTACACTCCTATAAATCGTCGTTTTTTGAATGGAAAGAGAGTGAGCGAAATTTTTATGTTCACTTCGTTTCCTTCCGCTTAGACTCCTCATGTTTATA